TTGGGGGTGGCTGTATTCATATCCATATTCTTTCTTAATTGGGAGGAAAATTGTATTTTTATATATATTCGGCGTTGGAGATCTTGTAATCATAACATAGAATGATAGAACAGACATATATCATACTTCACGCACCGCGGCAGTACAAATAGAAAGAAGTACGATTATATCAAATCATATCACATTATCACATCACTCAATCCATCAAAATCCCATAATCACTACGGTATTAGCACATACCACGCACAGAGCACCACAAACTGCACGACATAAATTCCTCTTGCAATTACAACGTAGTTAACTTATTAGCAGCGCCGCAGCATAACACTACACAACCCAACGCCACGCCACGCAACCCAACGCATCACGCTCAAATACCCGTCCGAATTCCGTATTGACCGACCGACTGACTGACTGACTGACTGATACTTGGGCGTGGCGTGCGTGGGTATATTATAGAATAAACAATGTAATTATACAATATAGTACAGATAGAGTACAGATCGCGTTTCTCGAGCATTCTTCTTCTCATCCTCATCCTCATTTTCATTCATCCTTCCTCTCAATACATACATACATACATGTATGTGTATATATAGACTCCACTTCATCAAACCGAACCAAATACAACAAAACTTAGCACAACAAAATAAAACTAAACTACACGCAAGTTAACTTAAAACGGTTATTTGCACCTCGGATATATCTTACTTGGTACTTGTGTCCTGTGCTGTCGTTTCGTGCATGCACGTCCTTGTTCTAGGTTCGCTCTGGAAAGTTGGTTGGTTGGGTGTGCTATGCTATGCTCTGATATGCTTGGGTATCGTAATCTCGTAAATGCTACTTGTGTGTTGTTTTGTTTCCGGGGTGCGTGTGTGGTGAATAGAGAGATAGAGGTAGAGAGAGAGGTAAAGACGAAAGCGAAGGGAATAATTTATCGTGTTGGTAGCCCAGAATCGATAATTTGGGGATAAGGTCGAAAAACTACTTTCTCGCCAAGAACAAACATCCTGTAGCTGGGGAGACCGTAAAATCATTTTCTAGCCATGACCATGACCATGACACATCTTTAAACGTATTATATCGGATTATGCATAGGCGGCAATTCATCCCCCATCAACCTCGGCGTGCTCTCCTTCTCCGCACTCCTAGTCTTTGATTTCCCCTCCGAACTCGCACCCGCCGTACTCGTCTCCGCACTCGCACTCCCCAAATGCAAACCCCTCTTCATCATCTTCCCCAGAATACTCACTAGCTCCGCCGCATCCTCAAACATATCATCGTCCATACCCTCATCTGTATTATACACCTCGTTGATGGTTCTCCTGGCCAACTCTCGCGATCGATTCGCTTGATCGAGACAATCGTATATGAAAGCTGCGTATTCGACTTTGACGGATAGACGAAGGGGGTGGGAGCCCCAGAGTTGACGGTCGGCGAGTAAGGAGGCGTCTTCGAAACATTGTGAGGCGAAGGGCCGGTAGTCGATGCTTGGGATGAGGAAACTGCCTGTGATGTCGGTAGGGGGGAGGATGAGGCCTGGGGGTCCGCCGACAGGACCGCCTTCGAGGGGATGCGTGGGTTGGACGCTGGATGGGCGAAATGGATCAGATGGCGAGTTTCTATCGATGCCTTTACCTTTGTCTCTGTGTCGCGGAGAGGTCAAGCCAGGTGGAGTAGAGATCTTTGCCGTTCGGAGAGTAATCGCCGGAGTGTTATGAAAGAGAACGTAAAGATGATAATAGCTTGCTCTCAGCTTATAAACCAAGACCTTCAGCTCACTAAAACCTGCTACTACAGGCAAAATGTATTGCTCCAGAATCCTGAGTCCTTCTTTCGCATACCACACAATGCGAGTATACAGTTCGACTGATTTGGTATCACGCGTTGTATCCAGACGGCGGAGTTTGCGAGCTTTGACAACCATTTTTGAGAGCATGGTCAGATTGCCGAGGATTTGAAAGAGATTTTGAGCAAGGAGTGGGTGGTCCAGTTGGATGTTCTTTGCGAATTGTCCGAGAAACTTGGTGTCTACTTCTGAGGACGCCATTGCGAGATTTGGAGTGGTTGTAGAATTGGATAGATTTTGGACGCATAAAGTTGGAAAGTAAAGGAAGATAGCTTAATGAAGAATTAGAGGCGCGATAGAGTCAATTGCTGAAGTAAAGGCTCTAGTATTGATTCTTTGATGAAAGATGAAACCGCTGCGAAAAGAAAATTAAGAGCTGTATAAACCGTAAATAGCTCCAGTCATAAACTCTCCTTAGGATCAGCTTCGTAAAAGAAAGTATGAAGTCAGCGAAATATTCGAAATATTCGAGAGCGCGTTCCAATGATGTATCCAACAAGGTTTTCGAGAAAATTAAACAGAATATCGAAGATTCAGACGAGTGACGGTAAGAAGTCAAAACAAAGCAACCAATTCACTTCGGTAACCCAGGTAAAGAAAGGTAAATAGACGTCCTTTAAATCCCCTCCTTCTTGCCAATCACCAACCTCCTTGTCCTCACAATATTGTAATCGACTTTCTATATTCGAGGTGTATCCAGAGGTTTTGATTATTTGTAGATGAGGTGCAAAATGTACCGTGGAGAACTGAAGGGCGACAGGAATAGGAAGATTTCTTCACTAGCCGAGTGAATAAATTGAGACCAAAAGACCGAATGACCCAAACCAACTGTTTCTCTCGTCTTAACTTTTGGGAGGATGATTTTGATTTTGATTCAATATTTTCAGTATTTTCAGTATTTTCCCCGCGTCGAATGAACCAACGACAATATCAACATTACACACTAAGTATACTACAACTTGTCAGAACAAAACATCATCAACCAAACACATACCCCTGAAATTGACCCATTCACTGACCAGATATAATACAGTAAGAGAAAGCTCTCTCTAGTGCAAAGTAACACTTCAACAGTGACCTGGTAGCCAATTGCAAGTGTACTTGGCCTTCCTAGTAGCAGGCGCAACACACGAATCACCGAGAACCCTTTAATCCTTCAAGAGAGAGATTCGAATGAGTACAAAACATATCGACTTCCTTTTCAATGGGCGCAATGGCACCTGAAACAGAATTTATTTGTACACGAAAGGCGGTGACCGAAGGATGTCCCCAGATGGTATTTGGTACAAAAGTATTTGGAGGGGGGGGTGGAGTGAAGAAATGTTGCAAGGAAGCAGCTTCGTATATTTATGTGCGGAAAACAACGGTCAAAACGTTACTGTGTACTGTACTTGAATTGAATTGATAAAAAGATAGGGAATTGCTGTTCCAATTGAAATGAGCGTATACAAGAAGAAGAAGAAGAAGAAGAAGAAGGCAAAAACGCGTGGTTTAGGAGCAGAACCACATTCTAGTCGAAGATCTGAAAAGGATGAAAAGACCCAAAACGCGACCTTGAAAGTTTCAAGAAGAAGTTTTTGATCATGGAAGCTCTCTTCTCTTTTAGAAGGGAAATGCAAGCAAAATGCAACCGCCCGATACACTTGGACACTTTGGGATTATCGCTCCCCCGTCGTGCAGCAGTGTAGTGGATGTGGAGGGTTTTAATGCACAAGCTACGATCTTTAGATGCGAAGCGCTGGTAATTGCATATTTTTGGCGTTGGAACTTGGATGGAGCGACCTGCAAAGCTACGTGGCAGCACAGATTGAGCGAGGAGCTTTGGGAGCGGGGGAAGGAGGGAAGGGGAGCGAGACGAGACGAGATGGGACGAGACGGAGAAAGCCTTGGTGAGAAGCTAATAAGGGCCCGTCTGGTACACAACAGACCGGTAAAGTAATTACGGTTATGTATGGGTTAGTGAGTATAATGGATAAGCTCGGTGATGAAGGTTGACTAATTATAACCAGAGATACTAGTACTGTATCAAAAAGAAGGAAAGGAACACTCAGAATTGAAGCGATTCCGAAAAAGACGTACAGTATACGAGTACTCGAGTATAGTACAGTAGTACAGTAAACCAACTAAAGGGTGTCTTTCCGTTCCCCTTCTATCGACCAGCCTGTTCTTTTTCACCTACAAGTGCAGTACAGTGTGCTGGTACCATATATCTCGTTCTCATACTTCTAGCCTCTTCCAGCCTCCAGCCTCCAGCTTCCAGGTTTAGAAAGGCCCCGATACTGCACCGCACTATCCTTTTCTCCAGGGTTCATCTGCAAGTAACTGAATCTTCCCAAAGAATCTTCTTCTCTATGTTATCATGATTCTTGACCAATAATAACGACAATTCATATTGGCAATCGTTGGGATGGAAATTCTCCGATTGGGTTTATGATTAAATTGAGGCTAAATTCCCAACCCCTTCACCGCTCTTACTGGACAATTCCTCAATTCAACATCAATTGTCCAATAAAATCAAGATCATCATCCATCCACCAAACAGTTATTTTATATATGAACAATATGATTGCATAAACAACTTTTCATATGACTATATTCAGTTCTCCTGTTTCTTTCTATTTGCATTATGTTGATCTGTGATGCCAACACATGGATTGTTGCAAGCACTACGGTATTCACAATTCCACCATCAAGAAATGCAGCCACCCTTTTTAGTTAAATTTCAAATTTCAAATCAAGAAAAGCTTTTCTCTATCTCTATCTATCTCTATCTATTTCTATCTATCTCTATTCCTCTTCCATCGACCACCAATCAAATTGGAACTGGCGGTGAAGATCCACCATATTTTATCGAGATTAAGCGAGTTTCAGGCTTGTGCAAGGATCCGAATGAGGTTCTAGATGCTGCTGGCTGCTTCTGAGTTTGTGGAGAAGGGTTTTGAAGGAATGCAATGCAATTACTTCGCTTCTCCTATCTTCAACTCCTTTTTCTTTGGTGAGGACGAGAAAAGAGCTTATTGATGGACTGCAGTGCAGGTATACGGTATGTGAGCTTAGATCTCTGCTTCACTATGTCATGTCGTGAAAGAAAGTTCATTAGTCCTTCTTCTTTCTGCAGCTGTCTCTCCTTCTGATCTATCAAAGAGATGATAACAAACATATTGTCTAGGCAGAATGATATGATTGACTTATTATTTCTACTCATCGGCAAGTTGCCGCTGCCTTCATGTATTCTTCGGATTCCCTGTAGCCCTACTGCTAAAGGACCATGAGAAAATCCCAAATTCTTCTTCAGCAAAGCTTAATCGTCCAATCTGTCTTTCCTACATATGTTTGTGCGACCAGCTGTTCCAAACATGCTTTCCACTCAGAATGTAAATCACTGCAAGCAGAAGATTTTGTTCGGGCGAGGCACAGAAAATTTGTCAATGAGGCTGGACTGTCACAAATGATATCTAGCTTTTGAAACAATAGAGAAGGCGATACACATGATGTGGCAAACTCTTAGTCTCAAAATATATCAGGCAATCTTTGGAGATGGAAATGCTATAAAAATGGTGAGGTGTGCTGCCAATTTGTATTTCATCACAAGACCGACCACTGAATACACAACTATATTTCTCGTCATTGTCTCTCTCCTAGGCAAAATCAATCGTCAACATACACACACACACATCTCAACCCCGACACCATATCTCAACAGCCAACTGGTGGTGCCATCGCAGCTCTCCTTAATCCATCTCCCATTCACCACCCAACCCGACTATCCCAATCCAAAATGTGCTATTAGTAAGTCCTCTCCATCCATCCATCCATCGTTCCATCCATCCCCCCTCACAGTATCGAGTCATGCCCATAAGCTAATCAAACCCAGCTACCAATACCGATACACCTGCACGCACCACACGAAAGTACTTGCAAAATTCTGTTCCGCAGCTAGCTACAAGCAAACCGCATGTGGAAAAGTTTCAGTATGGCAGATGATATGGCTAAGAGAAGAGTGCGAGAATTGCCTTGCGAAACGCGGGGGGATTTTGCATGGTGAGGGGAGTTGGAGGGTTGCTGAACCTATTGTGGCGGGTTTTAGGGGGAGGGGGAAGCTGAGGGGAAGGAAAGTTGAGGGGGAGAAGGGGGGATGAGGATGGGGATAGAGGATGGGCGGGGTTGTTAGGGTTTGAGGTTTATGTATGGTAGGGTAGGGCATGTTAAACATGATATGATATTGGAGTCATCTAAATCAACACTGTCATTTTCAACCACCCTTCAGAGATTCCCAATCTTCTCGACAACACACTTGATTGGATTGCTACTCTGGTAATAAATTAGAAACCAAGCAGCAAATTCTCTTCATTTGAATCCCATCATTCAATTTAGTCCCAGAGAATTCCCCACTAGCACCGCTACTAGCTAGCTAGCTAAGTCTCCCGATCAAATGCCTACGGTATTCGGTATTCATTCGTATCTAATTGAGGTAAAAGATTCTGCATACAGATCTATTATTTGGAATGGATTATGACTTGGGATGAGTTTGGCTGTTGTTTCGTAGATGTTAATTAGCTTTCCGATATTGTTTTGCTATTGCTATCGTAAGACTTACATTCTGTACTCAGCACTCACTCAGTACTCGGTGCCTTCATCAATATACTCCATCCAGCATCTCCCGTTCATTTACTTTATCTTTGAATAAATCAAGGCTTACATGAAGTCAAATTGAGCATTGCATTAAGAGATCTAATCAAATGGAAGAAAGTAGGTATCTATACTGTAGCTAACAACAATAGTATATTTATCGATATCTCGCGCTCCATATAATTTCACATAAGTCTAGACCAAGACCAACCGTTAGATCATTAGTTACCCATAAAAAACCTCGGTTCATCCGGTTATACTGTACAAGTATACACAACCGTGCCTCTACCCCGCAATACGCTAAGTTCCCCATACATGCGAGTTACTTCCCAGAACTAAGACCCAGGACCAGTCCACCCATTACCTCACATGCCCGTGTCCTCGCTATCAATTTTCAATACAACAGACCATAGTTTCCTACCGAGTAGAATATATTCAGTCATTAATTATCAGCAAATCCCTAAAAAATGTCTTCCTCAGTCCCAATTCCCTTCTCTGAACCTTCCTGGCTCATGGGCCTACCATCTCCATATTACAACACATCACATCGAAAATGGCAAAAGACATGTCGAGCACTCGTTTCGGAACTACTAGGCAATGCATCCGAGTGGGAGAAACAAGGAGATGTACCAGGTACGCCCTACTTGACAATCTATTCTTCAAATTATACCTCGGCTCTCAATTATAGACATCCAAAATAAAATCCAATAAGGTTACTGACTAACGTATCCAAGCCGACCTCTACCAAAAGTTCGCCAGCGCCAACTTTCTGATTCCCAATCTCCCATCCCCACTTCCCGTCAAATGGCTCCAAAAACTCGGTATAACACACCTACCAGGAGAACTCCCCGTCGAAGAATTCGACTACATGCACACGCTAATCTTCACCGACGAGATGCAGCGGTCCGGATCCATGGGACCCTCCGGCGCCACCAGCACCGGCTTCGCCTTCGGCATCCCTCCCATCTTAAAATTCGGAAGCGCCTCCCTCCAACAACGTTTCCTACCCGATCTGCTGACCGGCAAGAAAAGGATCTGCATTGCGATCACCGAACCCGGAGCTGGGAGCGACGTGAGTGGCATTGAGACGACGGCGCGAAAAAGTGACGATAGGAGGGAATGGATTGTAGATGGATGTAAAAAATGGATCACCAATGGTCTCTGGTCAGACTATGCCACGATGTGCGAACCGGTGGACCGGGTCCTGCAGGTCTTTCCCTGCTCATTGTCCCGCTTCTAAACCATGCTGGCGTGACGATGCGCCGGATACCCGTCGGCGGGCAGACTGCTGCCGGAACTACATATATCGAGCTTGATTCCGTCCGCGTGCCTCTCGATAACATAATCGGAACCCCGGGTCTTGGCATGAAATATATGATGCAAAATTTCAACTACGAACGACTCAGCATATCGATATCCGTAGACCGATGTGCGCGCACAGCACTCAGCGCCGCCTTCGAATACGTGATGAGGCGCGAAGCATTTGGCAAAACACTCATGGAGCAGCCGGTCGTGAGACATCGGTTGGCGAAATGTGGAGCGCAGCTCGAGAGCCATTGGGCGTGGATCGAGGGATATACGTGGGTGATGACGCGACTGAGCGAGGAAGAGGCGAATCGGGAGTTGGGGGGGTTGACGGCGTTGGCGAAGGCGAAAGCGGGCATGGTGTTGGAAAGTTGTGCGAGTACTGCCGTGTTACTTTTGGGGGGGAATGGGTATACGAAGAGTGGGATGGGAGAGATGGTTGAGCGTGAGTTTTTGGTTTCTTTCTTTTCCTTTGTTCTTTTCGGTTGGGTTCGAATTACCCCCCCTCGCTCCTCATATATCGTATGATCAAGACCCAACCAAAACCCAGCAAGAAGTTCCCCAAAAACTAACCTCACCCACCCCTCCAGGAATCTTCCGCGAAATCCCAGGAGCCCGCGTCCCAGGCGGTAGCGAAGACGTCATGCTAGATCTCTCTATCCGCCAATTAGTCAAGAACTACCAGTAAAAAATCAACCACGAAACCAAAATCGCTGGATTGGAACGACCGAAAGGGGATTCGAAATTGTGATCCGCGTTTACCATTGTAACATCTTGAATCCCATTTACTAGGTTCCAGCGATAAAACTTAACTCATGAGACTCACATCAAGTTAATTTTGCACCAGCATGCGGATTTTACCCCACATTCACATTTGCTCCCCATCTAGAAACCCCCCAAGCAAGCCCCGTGCTCTTCCCCGCCCTCTTCCCCGCCCTCTTCCAAGCCTCTCTCCCCTGGCAATTTTCCACGCACTTTCCAATCCCCTTGCACTCCGCAAATCCCCTCTTCTCCCCAACACCTCAATCACCTCCCTCAGCACCTCCATTCCCTCTTCTTTTCTCCACACCTCTCCCACGCCTCTCTTACACAACCAAACCCAAACCCAACGTCTTCCCTCTCCCATCCCCCTCAACATACCCTTCCCTTGCCTCCCCTCCCCTTATCTTATCCCTTGTACTCGAGTATACTGTACACCCAACAAATCACACGTGTGTACCGAGTGTACCAAGTACCTACCTGTTATTGGTCCTGTAACCATACCAGACCAGGGAGGAAATGTAGGAAGTGGGGGGGAGGGTTATATGGGGTTTATGAGTTGGCTAGAATAGTGTAATATTGATGATTTGGTGTTAGGTCTGGATTGGTATTGGAATGGTAGAGGATATTTGGTATTGGAATAATGATATGATATGACACAATAGCATTAGATAGGAAGGGAAATTCAATAGAATGCAATAACAACAACAATAAAAGTAACAACACAAAAGCGCACCACAACCCAAAAAGCCAGATCTATAAACAGAACAAGCAAGCAAGTAAGTCTGTACCATACTATACTATACTCAGTACCCGAGGTTACAAAACACATTCAACACATAGATCTATAGTATCTACTCATAGAGTACTCCAGTATAATGACATGGAATGTGCAAGTGGGTAGTGGGTAGGTAGACTACTACTACCCGGTAGGTGATACTACTACCATTATTCACTTATCTTAAGTCAGAGAGTGTGTGTCCGGACACTGGATCGGGACATTTAAAACTCGTGAGTCTCTCGTATTCTGGGAGCATACAAGACAATACATTCAGTCGGGAATTTATGATCCAAAAATGGGGTAATCAATTCCATGGTTATGGGAGTCGGTACTCCCTACCGACTCTTAGGTGAAACTTCACCTTTCAATTCCATATGAAAGACATACTCAAAGACTGACCCCTGCGAGGCAATGAACTCTATCATCCGCTTGTCAATCACTTACCATATTGATCGTTGTGACAAGACATTATCTCTCTTTAGGATCAAGAACAAAATAACGTTTTATTTCAGCTCTCCACAGCTAAAGACTTTCGCCATATCCCAAGATATCTCCTAGTTTGTCCATATCCTTCTTTCCTCCCGGACAATCCACTGTCACTCTCCATGCTGCGATTCCTCTCCTCCCAATCACCCTCGTGATTGTACTCCATAATCCATCATCTCCAAAATCCATATCATCCAGATTAAAATGTTTTTTGTATTTCCACATCTCCTCAAAATATAAATCTGTTTGATTTGCCGTGTAGTTGTCCAGGAAAGTAGCTGATGTGGGTGTAATAAGATAGGTGGCTTCTGTAAGCTCTTCTCCAGGTTTTGAACGGCAAGTTGCCAGATTAATAACTTCTTCTAGCATGAGCTCTCCTTTGATGCCCATCAAATCATGAGTGGCGAGCACTTTATTTTTGCCGTTCAGTAGCCAAATTGGTGGACTGTATGTTTTCCACCAGATAGCGTTAGTGGCGTCTAGTTGTTTACTCAAGAACACTTGAGTTGGGATAACTCCTCCCTGGTGGTATACACCCATCAAAAGACCTAGTAGTAAATTGAATGAAATCCACAAACCCCCCCAGATGCGTAAAGGAATTCGCTGTTTTGGTAATTTTACAGATGACAATATTAAGGGAATTGTTGGAAGTAAAAAACGTGCCTCTTGGTGTTTAAAGAACGAAAGAACAACAACACCCGAGATTGCAGAGTAAAGGCGAAGAGAAGCCAACGGTTGTAAAAAGAGAAGTAATATAGCAGGTCCCAATAGTTGTGGGAGATTAATTAGACTATGCTGATACCATGGGTGTAGGCCGTGAAGCGCAAGATTTTCCGTGGTAAGGTTGTAGTTGAGATTGTTGAATGGTGTGATCGTTGGATGAGAAAAGAGATAGGACCAGGTGACCGCATTTTTTGCATAGAAATTCGTATCCAAACAGATTGCGATGAATGTAGCCAGGCTACCAAAGAGTACCATCGAAATGAGCGAAAGGGGTCTGCCCAGGATTTAGCCAGAGCATCACAGATGAGTTCAAATATCTTACTTTCTCACAAAATGTGGTAATAAACGAAGACCGGGAATGAAAAGAAAGGCGGGAAAGGTGATGCGATTGAAGATCCCAAAAATCACAACAAATGCAAGAATTCCACATGGCAATACTGAAGAATGTTTCTGCGACTGTCAGCCTCGTATCCCAAATTTCAACGTATATTCCATATTCCCCCACCTTAGCTGCCACGATTCTTTGTATCAAGACCAGACTCCATGCGACTGCTAATGTCTCTATCGAATTCGAGAACGTGTGAGTTTGATATGTCCAGGTAACGTATGAAGATGCCACAAGCATGACGGCTACTTTTCGATGTCGGGGAGATTCAACCAATTCGTGGATAGCCCAATCCTCAAGCACAAAGCTCAAAGTCAACATCAACAATCGCAAAGCCCAGAACACAGCTATCGGAGGTATCTCGCCATCACCTCCATTCCCTATCCAGAGCCATCGAAGGAGTAGCATCGGCAGACCATAGATAGGCCATAATGGAAAGACACTTCGAACCGGATTTTCGGATGTGAATTCCCAGGTCAACTTGACGGGATAGCTGAATATTTGTCCTGCAGGTTATTAGTAGACGTACTCTGAAGTTATCACAGATTTGTGTCTTTTTGAGTTCAGGCAAGAAGTCCCCCTTGACCGATGCGCCGATCTAATGCATTTGCCGGAGGGAAGGGAAGCTATAAAAGTATATAAAACTCACCAGCTATAACCTCTGGACCTTGAAAGTTCTCATCGGGATGTAGATAACTTGGAGAAATGGCAAACCAAAGTCGTAAGAGAAGGAGAAACAAGTATGCACGCCTAAAAAAAGGCATTTGATATATTTACCTATGGCATACGTGTAGAGAATGAGAATGTGAATATGAAGAACAGAAAGATTTGCATTATATAGATTAAAAGGGTATTCGCAAACGCCATAAAAATATAATAACAGAGAAAGAGGTCATTGAAAATAAGAAAACCAACCACAAGGCACAAGGACACCCAGCTCTGATATATATTTGAAAGTCGTGTTAAATGTACTCCGAGTGAGTAGGTAGGTACCTCTTTTTATTTTATTTTCCCATTTTCAGGGATGGCATTGGGGTATTATGGAGATCAGCAGGAGTTATTAAGTTACGCTGACCAATCGCATTCATTACCGAAGATATACCTATATTTCCTCATTCCGATAAATTATATTTATATTATATCTTTAATAAGTATAGTTATAGAGGTATGATGATGATAATGATATAATGATAATGATATAGATATAATATAATAAATAAGATTATATATTATATAGATAATTAGAATCTATTGAGAGATGATATATGATTTATGATTATGGCTTTTAAATAGATAGAGTAATCGGACAAGGCTGAAAACCCATAGAAACGCCACTTTACCAATGAAAATGCTTGATGGCTTCGAATCCATTTCTCAAGGCTTCCACAAGGTATTTGAGCTAATCGGAATAGGAAAGGGCCAATATTCAATAGACAACTTTCGAGTTACTTGGTTTAAATCCGTCTATTATTACCAAATTTAACCCTTTTCACTTTGTTATATATACCTTTTAGATACTGGAGCAACCATGTATATATTCAATTTCTAACCTATTATAATGTGACTAAATAAACTCGTAATGTCCAATTCACCTACTACGGTCCTATGATACTGACTGGGGTTGGCGTTGAATTAAGCGATCACAAGGCTTTACATAAAGTTAACATCCTCAAGTCCAAGTTCCTCTTCCGATTTACAACATAATCAACCAACAACTCCACAAGCAACTTCAAACAACAAGTTTAACAAATCATCACAACTCTTTAAAACACAACAATACAAAGACAAATTTATCTCTCAAAATGTCTGAAGGAACCACTTCAACCATCATTCTCGTCAGTAATGACAATGCATCCATCACTGTCGGCAAGTTACCCCGCCCCTCCTGCCTAAACATTGCGATGTTCGATATTCGATATTCGATATTCAACATCCGCAGACTGTATGCAGGTCGAATTAAGTCATGCTAACTTCATCAATAGAGCGTTCTGTCGCTGAGCGATCTATGTTGATCAAGAACATGCTGGAGGATCTTGGAGATGGTGTTCTCTCCACTCCAGTCCCTATCCCCAATGTGAGTCTCAAATTCTAGCATTATTTCCCCACTGATTTCATCAGTACCAGTCTAACAATTTGTCTATTTATAGGTTAATGAAGCCGTCCTCCGCAAAGTCATTGAGTGGGCCGAGCACCACAAGCACGACCCAGTTCCAGCCGCCGATGACGACTCTGATAGTCGCAAAAAGACCACCGATATCGAGGAGTGGGATCAAAAGTTCATGCAAGTTGATCAAGAGATGTTGTTCGAGATTATCCTCGTAAGTCAATATTCACTTCAATTCCAAAATGGTTGGATTAACTCTAACAACTCAACAACAGGCTGCCAACTATCTTGACATCAAGGCACTCCTTGATGTTGGATGCAAGACTGTCGCCAACATGATTAAGGGCAAGTCACCAGAGGAGATCCGAAAGACTTTCAACATCACCAATGACTTCACTCCTGAGGAGGAGGAGCAAATCCGTCGGGAGAATGAGTGGGCTGAGGATCGTTAAGCCACTCTGCCGGATTCGAACCAACTTATCATGGCATCACGATTTGGGGGTTGTGAATAAAATTTGCTGGTGGTGGTTGGCTCTAGTGGTATGGGGGAGTTTTCTGATTGTTCCTTGGTTGCCATCAGAAAGTCCAGGACTATACACTTTCAAGGCATGGGGGTTTTCAACATATTTTAATTTCCTTCAGGGTTTTACGATGGTGTGCACATGGGGCGGCGTTATAGGAGATACTTTAAGCTTGTTGACTGTTGGTTTATCTGTGAAGGATAATAATATAGTCAGCACTCAAAAGTACAGGTAAACCTTACAATTGCACTGATATTACAAATGATATATTCGAAACTGCTTGTGATTTGAATTTGAGAAGACAATTTCTAAGGTTTAAGAACTTGAAGGAAAGAGTACATATTCGAACTTTGAGATGCCAGACAAGACCGGTAACCAGTGTTGCCGAAGATCTACATCTACCTCTTCATTCTTCTTTCTCTATGCAATGGTATATACAAGATAGTTCTTTGAGGTTTTTTAAGTTTATTTTGTTCCAGGCCATGATCATTCTGAAGTACAAACTGATTTGTTGGAGCAGGACCTTTTGGATGATCATTCCTGACCTCTACACTATATTTGATATCTGGGCAGTTACTTCCATCATCATCATCATATACAGTCAAGTAACCAATCAATCAATCTTACCATATTGATACATTTTTTATTTACTTTTACTTTTAATTTGACTGAGTTGATGATTGATAATTGTTATTTTATTATATCATATCATATCATACAAGCTTTGACTCCGGCCCCTCGGTACCAAAAAAACAATTCGCCTTACTACACTCTTCGAATCGTTTTTCAGGGCACCTCAGTTCTTACATCGCAGTTTGTCCTCCGGAGGCTTATTAATTCGATAATTATGAATATTGAATAGTACTTTTGATTCTTATCTTTTCAAATTTTGTTTTATTGATAGTTCTAAGAAGTGTACTAATTTTGAAGATTGATTGCAGAGTTATCATAGGAAAACACGTGACTTTTTCAAAGAAATGTTCATTTTCGTGCATTGACCAATGCATCATAAGAGTGTTTTATAATATGAAAGGTTAGAAGAAGATCATCACTATATCTACTTTCTTTAAGGTAAAGAAAGGTGCGTGCTAGCTAAGGGTTTATAACTAGAGTATTTTGGGATCTGGGGCTGTGGGATTTGGGGGTTGTGGATGAGGGGTTTGAGGTTGCGATTATGGATGGGGTTTAATGATATGATGCAACATTGCAGGGCACTTTTCATATTATGTTTTTTTGTCTTGCGGACTGGGATGGTATGGTTTTGTACTGTACTGTATTTTGTTGGATTGGATTGGATTGGATTGGATTGTCATTATTGTGGTTGTGGTGTTGTTTCGAGTAAATGCAAGTGCAAGTACCTACCTACCTAGGTATACTCGAGTACATGTCTTAGGGCTGTTTATCAGCTTGTTCAATTTTGGATATTGGGTTTTGGATTTGGGTTTGATTTGGTTCTTATTCCCCCCTCTCATTCATTCTCATTCATTCTTGCTACATCTACCTAGGTACCTATGATTATCTATCTATCTAGGTATTTCTACTTTCTGCCTTTGTATCTTTTTATTCATTACCTACCTACCTAGGTACTTCACTTCACCGCACCCCTCATATCCATCCAATTTCAGGGCTAGTTCATTCGGCAGGTGAGTTGTTACACATCCCTTAGCGGATTCCGACTCCATGGCCACCGTCCTGCTGTGCTGTCTAGATGAACTAATTAACACCTTTTGTGCTGTCTGATGAGCTATTCCCATTCCTGTTTATGAATCTTTAAATTTACTAATTTATTAATCTATCTCTTTTCTTTTCTTCTCTTCTATTCTTTTAACTTTATTCATCTTTTAAAACCCTAGTATCTAACAATATATTCACAATTTAACACTCTATTATATCATCACCCTCTATCCCTATCACCATCCCCATCTCCTTACCTCCTCACCTCCTCTACTACTATTATCACCATCACTATCACTGCTACCACTACACCACTACACCACTATCTCCTCTTCTCTTCCTTCTCCTTTCTTCCCTCCACTCCGATAAAATAATAAACACTTACTATAACCACTATCCATATCCTATATAGATAGATATTTCCAACTTTTTATAAAAATAAAGTATATATAATAAGAGTTAAAATGATAAGAATACAGATAGATATATAAATAGAGAGGCATGAGAAGTAGTAGCTCTTAACTAATATATGTATATATATAGCATATTAATATTTATATCATTTATAATAATCATACTTATACTCATGATACAATACACTATCTACTTTCCCTCCTCTTCCCCCTTCATTATAATCTTACAGATTCTTATTCCTAAGTTTCGCTTGTTTTTTCTAGATACTTCACTTATCTTTATTCTAGAATTCCACTATCACGGGGCTGGTACGGGTTCTGGTGGGTACTAAGTAAGATGTATGATATTCGACAAGAGGAGAAGGAGGCGTGCGGAGCGACGCCGACTATATAATAGGTGGAGGCCTAAGGCATCTATCCGAGTTAACTAAGAATGGGTAGTGGATATATGATAGATGTAGAAACAGATA